GGGCAGCGCGGGGGCCCCCGCCGCTGGATTGTGACGACGTCGACCGTGTTTCCAGCGACTTGGAGTCGTAGGCGCGGGGGAAGGGGGTCTCGGTGCGAGGTTCTGCGGGGAGCAGGGGGGATGATTCCGTAGGTGGCATCTTTTTTATTTTTATTTTTTTTTGGCCTTCTTTTGTATATTCTGGTTTTTGTTTGCTCCCTTCCTCTGATGGGGTTTGGCGGATTGCGTTGGCAGGTGAGTGAAGAGTGAAGAGTGAAAGGGGTAGATGGCAATTTTGCGTGAGAAAGCCTGAGATATGTCCTTAAGTAGAATGTCTGGTGTTATACGGCAGATGGCCGAGGTGTAGGTGGCGCTCAAGCATTCGGCGGCCAACAGATCTGAAAAACAAATCTAACCAATCCCGGAGCTTGTAATGAAATACGTCGACTCGATTCTTTCCTTTTTCTGCACACCGCATTGTACAAGGGTACGAACCACGGACTGCCACTGTCCGTCCAAGTCAGCGTCGTGGGCGTGAAGAGGCTAGTCGTTCACCACCTGCAGGGGTGTGGCGAGAAGGCACAGCCAATCAGAGGCCTTGTTTTAGTCAGCGTCGCGTAACCATGGTTCGGCAAGTCTGCCGACAGGATGATGCAAATCTGACCGGCCTTTGAGCTCCGAGACCAAGTTTGTTCGCCGCGGCCTCTCAGAATTCATGCGTTCCGGGATGTGCTTGGTTGATGGTGATGCGGTGTAGTCCACCCAAGCTCTTTGCTCGGGGTTAGACGGCCTTCGGATTTTGATGCTTCTTTTTTTTTTTTTTGCTTCTAGTGGCGACCGAGAGTATCTGTACGAGTTTCGTTGCACGCCATCCATGTTGTCAGCATGGCATGTTGTCGGGCTGGGGGTTGTCCAGTCGGTATGCGTGCATCGTCGCCCTTCAAGCCAGCCATGTCGTAGTACTCAGCAACCATGCGCAACAGAAACCCCCTTGCAGAAGCCATTTTTTGGGCTCTCCAGTCCGCTCCCTCCTCATCCCGTCTCCTCATCCGGCCAAACCAAGAAATCATTCAGCTCCAGCCCCAACGCCAACGGACTCCCCTTGCCTCCAACCGACCTCAACCCGGAACTCGGGCTCACGCTCTCGCCGGGACCATCTGTTTCCAAGCCCACGGTCCAAAAGTTGTCCAAATCAAGCTCCCCAGTCCTAACAGCCTGTCCTCCATCCCACATTCCCTCGCCACCCCCCGTCGAGCTTCCCCAGGCAACCCTCTCGTTGCGCAGGTGCTCAAACGGCGTCACGCCCACGGTCCTCTTAAACACCCTGTGAAAGTGCCACTTGGACAGACCCGACTTCTTGGCCATCTGGCTCAGGCTCAACCCCTTCTCCTCGGCCGCCGTGCCGGCCCGTTCCAGGACAAACTTGCGAATCCGCTGAACGGCACGCTCCTCGGGCATGAAGCCCTCCATCTCGGGCTTGCAGCGCTTGCAGGCCCTGAACCCGGCGTTCTGCGCCTCCGCCCCGGTCGAGTAGAAGCTGACGTTGGACCGGCGGGCTAGGCGGGCCTTGCAGATGGGTCGGCAGTAGACCTTTGTTGTCTTGACGGCGTAGACGAAGCAGCCGTCTGCTACGGCGTCGCGCGTCTGTACGGCCCGCCAGCGGGCTTCGTCGTCATCGAAGAGGTTGAGATCAAGGCCTGGATAAGTGATGGGGTAGTGGCAAGACATGATTTCAAGGTGAGTGTGTAGCTGTCATTGTGACATTTCACGGTACCGTGTGACGATGAGATATTTGTATTTTCTTGAAGCTACGAGGACGAGTGGCCGTTCATGAACATGTTTGGTGACCGGGTATCTCAAAGTACACGCTAACGGGCTGCCATATCTATTTCTCCGTGATGCGATGGTGGTCACCCGTACAGGACATCTGGACCCCCAGAAGAGCGGGGGCGTTGCTAGCAATATGACCAATGGGATAACACACACGTTTACATCACGAGCAACAGGCGTCATGCTCACGGACATGCTTCACTTCACGAGTAGCCTTGTGAAAAATTCCATTCTATTGTGTGACGTGAACTCAGCCCATTGTCCTTTTCAATGAAGTAGTATCCCAGTGGCAGGGTCAAGACGTTGTGTGCAACGTCGACCAGACGTGCGGTGCCGTGTGTTTGGCATGCTTCGTATGCGCGCAGTCTGTTATTAAGGTGTTTTTTTTTGTAGTGTTGTGTTTCATTGCAGCGTGTTGTGTCCCAAGTGCCCATTACCAATAATAACGCCAATTCTCGCCAACAGTGAACACCAGTTCCCAATCCCCAAGTGCCTATTCCCAACGACAACACCAAACATGTCCCGCTGCCCTCGTTAAAACCCTGTGGGGAAAAGAGTAGCAGCATTCAGCAATCTCCAGCCCAGTGGTCTTGGCCAGTCTCGTCAAGTCCTTCCAAGTCACTGTGTTTGCCTTCCGTCTCAATCCAACCTCCCAATAACAACACCATAACCCAAGTTCCAAAACAGAACCATTGCCCAAAAAAAAAGAAAAGGAAAAAAATCCTCCTTCACAATGAGATCGATCGCCTATTGAGTCGCAGAGCTTCCGTCGGTAGCAGCGACACTTCCATGTCCCTCTGGCACCCTTGCCGCAATCCAGTTCAAGACGAACTGGGCGACGTTGTCGCTGTTCTTCTCCAAGAACATGAGATGGCCGTTTCCATAGACCCCAGCCTCCCCCAGCTGGACGTGGTCGACATCCACGCCAGCTTGCCGCATAAACTTGACCGTGGCCGCGTCGCATGTCGTGTGATGGCTAGCGTCTGCCGTCACCACAACCTGGCGCACCTTGCCGAGCGCAACCAATTTCCTGGGAATCTCCATGTACGCATCCCAGGGCAGGACCGTGCCCATGGTATCGGCCTGCACCAAGTCCATGCCGCAACGTTGAAGCAAGTAGACGGCATTATCCGGGCCGGCGACGCTTGGAAACAGGTTCAGGGGCGGCTGAGTGACCCCGTGTTGGTCGTATACCGGCTCGGGAACCGGCGGGTCGAAAGTAAGAGGGATGTCGGCCACGCCGTACGGTCGGTGCTGCGCAAAATACCTCACCTGGTTGGTGAAGACCAGCATGTTGTCCTTCAACACGCGATTCGTGCCTCCTGGGGGGCCAGCAGGCTCCACGGCCAGGACGGCCTTGACAGAGTCCGGAAGGGCGTCTGCGGCTAGCCACGAGAGAGTCGCTCCGCTTCCCTCTCCAAGAAGAATGACTTGTCCGATCTGATGGACGAGTGTCGTGAGAGCCTCCTTGCCAAAGGCTTGTCGTTCGTGTCGGCGGAAATAGAGTGGCACCGTGGACGCCATGTATGTTTCGAAGAATTCATCGCCTCTCAATCCAGTCTGATTCCGAGTTAGTACCAAAACGGTCGCAGACACAACTGTGAAAGGGGGGGGAAGTGGCGGAAACGTACCCCTGGCCATTGAGTGTGCTTGTGGGCGTCAGGCCAACGCTGAAATGTGCTCGCCGCTGTCAGCGTGGCTTCGACATTATCGCGGGTGGGCTTCGCCATGCAACTCGCATAGTTGCTCCACTTTACAACTGTCCGGTCGAATTCCATTGAGCGCCCACAGGCAGGCAGGTCGACGACGTAAACCGTGAAGCCCTTGTTGATGAAGAAGCTCGCCCACCCTTGCCCGCCGTCGGGCTTGATTGTCCAAATGTTGCCGGTGTGGAAATCGCCGTGGACCAAGACGATGGGGTACGCCCATGTCGGCTCGTGAGGCGTGTACTTTTCAACGTACATCTTGGCTTCCTTGGGCTGCGGTAGACTTGGGCTGGGTGGCAAGGGGCGATAATCGAACTTGATGTAAAATGATTCGAATCGGTGACCAGCTCACGACACCGGCGTGAACTTGGGTGTATAAGTGTCCCATGAACTATGAGGGGCCGGCTGCCATGAATTGGGTTGTAAAAGCTGGATTTTTGGCGGCGAGTAATGTACCGGAGCGCCAGGAGGAGTGTTGGTGCCGCTTTGCGGGACAGCCGCAGAATGCAGACAAAAGGCCGGGTCCAAAGCAGAGTTGTCCGGGTTGAAAGAGTTGTCCGGGTTGAAAGAGTTGTCCGGGTTGAAAGAGTTGCCCGGATTGACACAGTTATTCGTATTGACGGAGTTATTCAAATTCATAGAGTTGTCCGGATTGGCAGAGTTGTCCGGATTGATAGAGTTGTATGAATTGACGTAGTTGCCTGGATTGACAGAGTTGCCCGGATTAACAGAGCTGCCTGGATTGACAGAGTTGTCCAGGGAAATAGAGCTAGCCGGACTAATAGTGTTATCCAGACTAGTAGAGTTATCCGAAGTGATATCGTTACTCGAACTATCAGAGCTGAGCGAATTGAGACGGTCGTTGGGATTCACAAAGTCGACCGGTTGGGTAAGTTCTGCCGGGTTAATAACAGAGTTGTCTTGATTCGTCAAATCCGTCATGCCAGTGTCGGCGGGTTGAAAACCAGCAGGGACATTGCTGTCAGCATTGCTCATCGTGAGCATAGCAGAGCTATCCACATCCATCATCATGGTGGAGTCGGAGCCGGTAGGTTGAAAACCAGTAGCGAGGTTGTTATCAATATTGCCCATCGTGAGCATAGCAGAGGTGTCCACATTCATCGACGCCATCGTGGCCGAGTCGGAGCCGGCAGGTTGAAAATCAGTAACGAGGCTATTGTCAACATTGCCCATCGTGAGCATAGCAGAGTTGTCCACATCCATCATCATGGCGGATTCGGAGCCGGTAGGTTGAAATACAGCAGGGAGATTGCCGTCAACATTGCTCATTGTGAGCATGCTGGGATCCACGAACAAAGCGTCGGTGGAGGGGAAGAAGGCCGGGGCTGGTTCCTGTGCGTCTGGTACAAAAAGGCCAACCGTGATTTGCTCAGGGATAGTTGGTGGTTCAGTAGTGTCCGCATCATGCGAAAGGTCAACGTTGGAATCTGGGGCGCCCAGATCCATGAATGGTTGCGTCTCAAGCCAAGCCTGCTGGAACAAGTCCCCCATTTCATCATTATAAGGCTCAAAAGACATAATGGCTGGCAGGCTGAGGTATAGCGGAAAGTAAATGCGGGTTCCAAGTAAATTTGAGGGCGAGTGACGCTGCAGCAGATTGAGGCTTGTAGAAACAAGATGAGTGTCCGAGGAGCCTGATAGAGTTCGTTCCTGGCTTTTTTTTGTTGTTATTGTGATAGGTGTCCGGAGAACCTGATCAAAGTTCGTCTTGGGCTTTTTTTTTTTGTTTGCTTGTTTGTTTGTTTGTTTTTGTTGGGTTCTTCTGGCAATGCTTGCGAGGAAATCTTTGTCCTATGTGGCCTGAAGAGTTGCTCACTCACAGCATATATGCTGGCAGTGCAGTCGTAAGTGACGATGGATGAGTCCGACGAAATTTGAGCCGTGGGAAAACAAGACTGGCAGCCGGAGGAATGACTAATAGTCTGTGAGTCTGTGAGGGCAATGAAGAATAAAGCAAAAGTGCTCGAACTTGTGTTGATAAATTCAAAAGTTGTTTGCAGGTGCCGCGGTGCAAAGTGGTAGTAGAAGAGGTGGCACGTAGACAGCAGTGAGTTCAAGGCAGATGAAGCATGTGGATATAAAGATGAGGAATAGCAGAAGCAAGAGTGCAGGTTCTGGCCACATTCACATAGAAGAATTCTGCATTCTACGGGATTCCAAAGATTTAGACGCCGTCTTCGTGGCCAGAACTTGGACGAAGTCTATACCCAAACCTTATGAATGCCAAAACTATATCGAGGCGCTTTCACATGACCTAAGGCATCCAGAGCAGGCCAATAAGAAGGATAGTCTAGTATAATGCGTTTCCATAGTTCACCAAAGGGGACCCCCGGGCTATGTAGTCCAAGCCCGCACTGTACAGGACAATAAGGTTCCGATACGATGACGCACTCGAGGCCTGTGCTGAAGGATGCTGAAGATGTGAGGTGTTCTTTGGCTGGTAAAGAAAATAAGCACTGTTGCGGATCCCTTTTCACAAGAGTGTTTGTTGACGAGCAGCTCACTTTATATTGAGATGTCCTCTCGTTGATATTTAAACACTATATAGATGTCAGCACAGATTCGCCACTATTGCACCTCACAATGGCACGTCTGCCCATCAAAAAGGTCGGTTGAGGTACCTGATCAAACAATGAGGCCCCTGGTACTCAAAACCAAAGTACAAATGATGGCTAAAAAGATCGAGAGCCACGGCGATGTGCGGCGTGGAAAAAGAACAAAGAGCAGCGAACCTAATTGTCAGTGCCACCTACGACTGCTGACGCACTGTGCGAGAATCTTATTCTGGACCGTATGTCTTCGGATTGTAAATTTGTCTCGATAGCCTATATTCACTGCGGTACCGGGAACTTGGAAGGTACACGTTGAACCACGTGGCGCGGATTCAGGTACAGCCGCAACGGACTTACCGCAGACTTAGACGACCCTAGAAGTCAATAGAAGACGGGCCTATGGGAGCTTTTTTGTAATGCCTTGGTCACCCTATCTTGTGCACATATGCACCAAGGGACCGGCTTGAGGACGAGGTATATGCGCGGTCTGCACCCATAGGCGTATTCACCATAGCATAGCCGCCATACTCACGAAAGATGCATGTGGTGTCCATATCCATATCGAACCTGAAATACATCGCGGGCATGTCTCGACGCCGGCCATGGCTAGAAAAGCAAAATAGGGAGATGCAGCTGACACGCGGAACCCTGACAGGCAAAGAAGCATATTCTGTGCGTGGCGGTCTGTATACAGTATGAACCATGATTCTTCTCTCGGTTTCTCGACAAGTGTTCTACTCACCAACTCTCCCACATGCCCACATGGCCATTGTCACAGAAGCCACAAAGTGTACCTCTCACATAGCCTTCCCATGCCTCGTAAATCAGGGACTCCCGCCCTCCACGTCATCCTTCATGTCAGGCACCCACCCCTTGGGCCTCTCGCTCCCCCTGACAACAAGCCCGTAGCCCAGCTTCTCCACCTTCCTCACGCTCTGCCTCATAGCCTCCATCTTGCTCCTGTAGTCCCTTGTGGGAACCTCCCTCAGCATCTCAAACGCACATCCCAGCTCCTGGATATCGCCAAGTATATTCCGCCCATCCTCGCCGCTCGGCATCTCGCCATTCTGCGCCGTCGTCACCGTCGCAAACCGCATCATTTCCCCAAAAAGGTCAAAAATGCCGAACATGTAGTCGTGAGGCGTGAGCGCAATGTCCCCCGGAGTCGACGCAGCGGCCTCCTGGGGCGTAATCAGCTTCTGATGGCGGAGGTAGTGCGCAAACGAGAGCGCCTCGACCAGTTCCTCGAGGCATCGAAGCGAGTAGCTGTATCGGTGGCGGTTTAGGGGTTGTAAATCCGGAGAGACGGATTGCAGGAGGGCGGTGATTTCACCCATGCGTGCAGCCACGTCCTTTTCCGTAGACGGGGGCAGACCCTGGTTGATATGTTTTACTCTGATTCTTGTGAGCCTAGTGTCGAAACCACCATGTTTTGTTTGTGTGTGTAGCTCAGCTGCTCATCTTACCGTTGCAGCGCAAAAATACTTTTTTTCAAGAGTCAGTACAGTGTTAGATGAGATACATGACAATGGGCAGCGTACATCTTCTTACTCTGGGCAGTGACATCCCTAGACGCCTTGACTATCCTCTCCTTCCGATCGTAATGCTCATCCAGCTCATCGCGAAAGTCTTCAAACATGTTGTGGAATCTGGTGCGGGGCCCGTCCTGTGTTGATTTGGAGCGCGCATTGCCGTCTCGGTCTCTCTTAGTTCCTGCGGGCATTTCCGCGCGTCCAACATGGGAAGCTTTTGGTGATGGCTATTTCCAACAGGCGCTGTGAGGAGGTGGTTGATGGAGGTGGGCCAGTTGATCCCATTGACCGGTGTGACGGATTTGGGAGCCGCACTAACAATTTCCGCCCCACGTTATTTTCCTCCCCCAACTCCAATCCCAGACAACTGAAGCTCGCGCGTGTGAATCAACACCAAGGGAGATGACGAGCAGGACGGAACCTACTCCGCTGGTGGCATCGACATAACCTTCAACTCTCTCCCGCAGGCATGAAAATACCTCCACCGACATCGCATCCTTCATAGTCCCGTCGCCGCCATCGCCATCGCCATGGTATCGACGCTCCTCCGCCCAACGCCGCTCTTCCTCATCGCCGCCCTCCTCCGCGTCGCCCTCCTCCTGTACGGCACCTTCCAAGACGCCCACTCCGCCATCAAATACACAGACATCGACTACCTCGTCTTCACCGACGCATCCCGCTACGTCTGGCACGCGCAGTCCCCCTACGCGCGCGACACCTACCGCTACACCCCCCTCCTGGCATGGCTCCTCGTCCCCACCGTATCCCTCTTCTCCTTTGGCAAAGTCGTATTTGCGCTCGCCGACCTGCTGGCCGGATGGCTCATTGTCCGCGTCCTCCGCCGGAGGGGCCTGCCCCCCGAGCAGGCAGGCGCCTTCGCCGCGCTGTGGCTCTGGAACCCCATGGTCGCAACCATCAGCACGCGCGGCAGCTCAGAGGGCCTGCTGGGCGTCCTGACCATGGCGCTCGTGTGGGCCGTCGAAGGGCGAAGGGTGAATGTCGCCGCGGCGGTGCTGGGCCTCGGGGTGCACTTCAAGATCTACCCATGCATCTGGGCGCCCGCCATCGCGTGGTGGATGGACGATGAGCACATGCAGCGCAAGCAAGCATCGCCGCCAGCCCGCCTCGCGGGATTCCTGTCCAGAGACAGAATCCAGCTTGCAGCCGTGAGCCTCGCCACATTCATGGGCCTCAACGTCCTCATGTACGCCGTGTACGTCTTATTCTCGCCCGGGGCCCTCTCAAACACCCCCCCTTTTTTCGTGCCGCAATATTAAATTCTCGCAGCTACGGCCACCCGTTCCTCGTCCACACCTTCTTCCACCACCTCACGCGCGTCGACCACCGACACAACTTCTCGCCCTACAACGTCCTGCTGTACCTCGCGTCTTCGGAACCGGGCACCTCTCTTCACGCCGAGTCGCTCGCCTTCCTCCCACAGCTCTCGCTCTCATGCGTGCTCATCCCGTTGGTGCTGGCCAAGAAGGACCTGGCGACATGCATGATGGCGCAGACATTTGCCTTTGTGACGTTCAACAAGGTGTGCACCTCGCAGGTAAGGCGTCCCGACACACTAGCTACAGTGGGGGGTTCGTAGGAATTCGACCTTTCGACCGGTCGAGTACTCACGCCCACAAACCGTATATAGACGAAACAAACATCATGGGTGAGCTAACGATTGTAGTATTTCCTGTGGTACATGATATTCCTGCCCTTGTACCTCCCCACCTCGACATTGCTGCGCAAACCGCGTCTGGGCATAACGGCGTTGGTTCTATGGGTTGTATCGCAAGGAGCGTGGCTGCAGCAGGGGTATGAGTTGGAGTTTTTAGGACGCAGCACTTTCTTCCCCGGCCTGTGGGCGTCATCGGTAGCGTTCTTCCTGGTCAACTGCTGGATCCTGGGCGTCATTATCAGCGACGGGGCCAGCACAGCACCCAAGACTCGTACGGAATAGCCAGGAGCATGTCTTGCAAATGATGAAACGCCCACTTGATTGATCAAAGGTAATTCTCATTATGGGTATCTATCTTGCATATGCTAACCACCAAGTCCAAACCATCAAAATATCCGAGGGGGTATTTGTATCATCCTTCAAGCGAGCAGATTCCCTCAAGTAAATCGGTTTTAAGCCCTTGCCGCCATGGGGCTGGTATGATGTTCGCAATCGAGCTTTATGTGACGCGTGTTTTCCCAAACTCCATGCTCTGTGATCCCATGTGTAATCCACTCCATTTGCCAATGTCAGGCTGCTGTGATATTTCGCCATCGTATTGTTTGCAAGGCCATAAACGCCGTCTCCAATATGCAGATAGGCCGTGATAAATTTAACAAAAGAAAAAGGGAAAAGGGGAAAATAAAATTTGCGCAACCTCTTTTGCCTTGCTGTAGTGAGCAATACTGAATCTCCGAATCTGCTGCTCTCCTCTGATATCCCATCACATGTCCCAACTTTCGCAATCTTCATTGCTTACTGGATTGTGATTCTTGTTGCGAGCGACCGATAGTTGGAAAGCTTCAAGGAAGATATCCGCGTTCGTGGGTACTCGGGCATAATCACCATCCTTCCGTCTTTGCCGTACGAAATATTGCCGAAACTCTCGCAGAGTTCGGTGAAATGAGCTCTGGGCCGAACTCGTGAGAGTTCCGCCACAATCGCGTCACTCCAGACGCCTGAGCACTCTCCGTTCGCCATGAGAAAGTACGGGTTCAGTGGTGGTAGGATGGAATCTGGGAAACTGTTAGCCGATGAAGCCCTCTCAGTCAGACGGCACACGGGGGAGGATGCACCTAAATCTACGAAGCGGATTCGGAGGTACTCGACCTCCTTAAACTTGTCCAAGGACCTCACCGCAGATAGTACCAATCGTTCAAAGGCCTCGATGAAGCTCAACTCTTGGATTCCGGATCCAGAATCGTGATAGCTGCTAGAGTGGCGACAACAATTCTTGACAGTCAGGTCAATTGACCTCAGCCTTGTGGTCAGTGGGTTTGCAAGCCGGCCAGCCATGTCAAAAAAACGGTGGCAGATGCGGCCGGTATACGAAAAGTGCTCCAGCCGAGTCGTGACCTCGGCCATCCTAGCGCAGATGTGCGTCTTCATTGCTACTTTGGCATAGAACGCAGGCATCACAGCCTCCCTTCTGTAGTCATTTTCGAGGCACAGGCTAAAACTGGTGATGCGCATGGGTAAAGACGGCGCAAATTCGGACATGGTAATGTAGCTCTTGGATTTTGGCTTGCTGTATGACGCCTGCCACTCCTTGAGATTTGGTAAAGCACCCAGAATGGCGTGGAAGTCGCCGGTCTCTCTCATCAGGTTCCATTGTCCTCTGGTTACGAGGGTCCTCACTGTCGGGACAGGCTCCAGCGTCCGCCCGGAGAGTACGTGCTCCTGGTGGCGAAAGCAAACCACCTTGGGTGCTTTTCTTCGTTCACCGCCCTCCAAGGACAAGACCTGCACGCAAGGCAATGCCAGGGATACAAATCGAAAGACCTCGTCCAGCGTGCAGTTGTTTGCCGGCAGGGTATAGGTGGCGTTTGTGAGCCCGTCAGACGTCACGGTTGGAAGGGCGAGCGTATTTGACAGGGCGAGTGGGCCGAAAGTAGGCTGAAACACGGGGAACCAAACTTCGACATGTTTGATATGGCATGACAGGTGTGGCTTGCCGGCCAGGTGCATCATTGCATTTTCAATGGATTCGATGGTGGCCTTGAGCTTGACGTGGCGGTAAAGGCGCTGCTGCACCAGAATCCTCCATACTCGGTTTACCAGAGCCAAATCGGCTAGTTCTCGTCTGCGGCAGTGTCTTTGGGCTCTGCTCCAGCACTTGGTTAGGCTGGATATTCTCATGGCACTGCTTGACGTGGGCGATATGCAGTAACCAAAGAGGTGGTCCAGAATGGCTTCGTGAACTTCGGTTGGCAGCTCGTCAAATGGAGTGGCACGTGAGGCATGGGCCATGGTATTTTCGCTCGCGGACGAGTGGGAGTCGTTGAACATTTCGATGTCGGTGCCATAGTCAGAGTCTTCGAGGCAGCACACGCGAGTGCCGCGGTTATCGGGGAGCGGAAAGGGCGTGCTGCTTGGCCTCGCTGGTGGGACAAAGGACGAGTTCTTGGCTTGGTCCAGCGAAGGACTCGACTGGCCAGGAGACACTGGGCTCGAGGCGGTGTTGAGCAGCGTGGCCACCATAGATGAGGCCATTAATGAATTGAAATCGTCGTCTGCAGATTCGGGGGGGTGCATTTGTTCGTCATGGCTTCGGAAACCATCCCTGGGTAAACCACCTCTGACGGGCAAGGCAACATGGCCATCACCATCTCCTTGGGCGTCTGTGTGTTGTCCCATTCCGGCTTCGAGCATCTACTTTAAAATGTCTGCGGAACGGATGTTTGGCTCGGCAACGGGTGCATTCTCAGCGACAGTGGAATGGTCGTCTTGATTGATTCTGGGAAACCTTGGGTTTGATCTGTGTGTAAAGTGCAAAGTGCAAGGTGCAGGCAAGTCGAGGCGGAGTCGAAACGACGATTCAAAACTCGGTTTGAGGTGGGCGTGGCAGCGTTGGCAGGGGAGGGAGGGGGGGTTAGATTTGACAGGCTCCAGGCCAAGAATGACACAAGGCAGAACAAGGAGCGCTTCCTTGGGAGTACGGAGTACTAGGTTTAGGTATTTTCCCAAGACGAATGGATGGAAGCACCAAGTGTACTTTGGCGGCGGCCAAGTGGCTACTCGGTAGGTGAGGCGGAGAAAAGGCAAAAAGGGAAAGGGAAAAAAAGAGAGACGGCGAAGGCGGGTTGGCCTGAGAGAAGGAGAGCGATACGGAGTGCTTTGTACAGCGTCACCGAGTTTCGAAACGGGCGTTCAATCCAGCGACCAGTGACACGACAAAGGATCAAGCCATCACCCTGAGTGCGTGCAGTGGGAGCATTGGAAAAAGAGAGTTGAGTGGATGGGAGGACTTTGAGGCCGCCGTGGTCGGACGTCGGGCCTTGGCAGATTGATCGAATATGAAATGTCGGTTGATATGAGCAAAATGTTCCATGTTCCCTTGTGCCTAGTCGAGTGGATAACTCTCATGGCGGCGCCTAAGTTATCGATCCTGTCGAAAGAGGAACACGACTTTGGGGTGGTGGAGATGCTCAATGCTTCGATGCTGCATTGTTACTAAGGCTGTGATTCCCGGAATTGGGGTCAAAAAATTGAGGTCAACTTTTTGACCCTGGTCAGTACATGCTCCACTAATTTAAAGTGGGAATATTACTTTATACCGTCCCACAGTGATTTTTTCAGGCTTTTCCACTTTTATACTTAGATAAGAAGAAAAATAACTTTTAGAACTTTTAGTAAGTGTTTCTTAAAGTAGTAAATTAATCTAGTATTAAATATAATAAATAAACGAGGATACTTTTAATAAGCCTTAATAATACTAAGCTAATTAAGGTAAAAGAGCCCTTATAAATCGTAAATTAAGTTATTTAAAAGCTATTATTAATTAATAATGATATTACATTTAATACCTAATTAAAAATATTTATAAAAGACCTTTTTACTAGCTAGAATATAATTAAGGCTAGCGATTAAGCTACTTTTATAAAGGTAATAGAGAGAAATTACGAGTTATAATAGTTAAAAAGCCCTAAGCTTATATTTAACGAGTCTAGTAATAACTTTAATAACGCTTTTATTATTATTATTAATAATCTAGAATATAATTAGCTTCATAAACGAGATAATTAAGACGCCTTTATAGTACTTATAGCGTTAACCCTAGACTTAATTAGAATATTAACGCTAGTAAGATTTATAGTGAATTTAGTTTAAAGCGGTATAATAAAGAGGAAAAGTAATAAATTAATATTATAATTTATCGCGATAATAGATTTAGCTTTTACTATCTTATAGACTAAAAATCATGTGATAACTATAATAGCAGTAAATAATATTACATTTAATATTTAATTAAAAATATTTATAAAAAACCTTTTTATTAGCTATAATATAATTAAAGCTAATAATTAAGCTGCTTTTATAAAGGTAATAAAGAGAAATTATAAGTTATAATAGTTAAAAAGCCTTAAGCTTATATTTAATAAGTTTAATAAAAGCTTTAATAATAATACTATTATTAATACTAGTAATTTAAAATAAAGTTAGCCTAATAAACGAGATAATTAAAACGCTTTTACGTTACTTAAATTATTAACCTTAGATTCTATTAGAATATTAATGCTAGTAAGATTTATAGCGAATCTAGTTTAAAGTAATATAATAAAGAGAAAAAGTAATAAATTAATATTATAATTTATCGCGATAATAAATTTAGCTTTTACTACCTTATAAACTAAAAATTATATGATAATTATAATAGTGGTAAAGGTACTAAGCTAAAAAGAAGTTAAAAAGGCTCTTTTAAATTATAGGGAGTCTATAAGGCTAAGTTAATTAACTAATATATTAAAAATAATAAAATAAATAAAGAAGAATCTAATAAATATTATAATATAGAATTTATTAGATTCTTC